GAAAGCCCATCGGATCATCTTTTCTGTTTCTCTTTCTTCCACCCAAGCTTACTGGGGTGTTCTAAATGTCTTTCAAACAACTCATGATTTTGCCTGACTTGATTGCCTCTTCCACTAGCTCCCCTATTTTTAAAATATCTTTGAAAGGCTTTCCCAAGGCCGGGATCAAATGACTGAAGTAGGTGGGCCCCTGGGCTTGTAAGAAAAGCTCAACCATTTCTTCTTCACCAATCGGGGTACTAACTCGAGCAGCTTGCTCCCTCTGTCTGAGCCCAAACTCCCTAAAGCTTTCCTCCGTCTTCTTTTCTATTTTAGATAGGGAGGAGTGGTTTGGGGTAACACCTGATCTGTATTGAAAGAACCGAACAAAATCTTGAGCCATGTCACCCAATGTAGGCCACTTACTAACATCTTGACGATTATGCCATTCCAAAGCTACCCCAGTCAGACTCTCACTGAAATATGCCATCAACAAATCATCTTTCTCGCCCACACTTCTCATTTCACTGCAATAATCCGTCAAATGGGCTACCGGATCTCCACACCGATCATACAAGTTAAACTTTGGCACTTGAAACCCTGCGGGCAGGCGAACGTCAGGGGACACAGACAGTTCTTTGTAAGTCATGCTACCCTGGTCTCCCCTTCCTTGTTTGTTCTTTAAGGATTTTTCTATACCTTTTAACCTCCTAGGTATCCCATCTCGTCCTTTTCTTCCTGTGAACTCTTCATTTACAACATGAGGCCCATCCCCCGGACCCTACTTGTATGAGTTAGGAACCTTGTGGGCAACCTCTGAGTGGTAATATTGGGCATCATGAGCTTTGAATGAGTATTCATTGTCGGGGATAGTGGATGTGACAGGAGGGCGATTTTGGGGAGAGGTAATTGGAGGATGAGTGATGGAGCTACTAGGACGGTTGGGAAATCTGTGATAAGCGGGTAGATCTGGAGAGTATGAAGGATCATCTGGCATTGTGTTCGGAGCTTGGGTAAGGATGACATCTAAGAGACTAGGTGGTGGCGGGGGTGGTGCCTTCCCAGTCATCCAGGCCTGATACATGTCCGCCATGTGTTGTCTCAACATCTTTACCTCTTCAACCAACCCATTGTCCTATTCAACCAACTGCTTTCGGGCCCCGGTATCAACCAACTCAGTTCTGTTGTTGTCTGCCATTGCCTTTTGACTTTATGTTGTAGAGAAGAGTTACCACTTTAAAAACCACAAACCAACCACCCTTCTGCTATGAATATAACAAAATGAAGCCATCACGTTAGCGTTAGGGCATTTAACATAAGATAATCTCACTTTATGTGCAATGCACCTAGCCATAGTTATAGGTTCTAAAATGACTTCGAGGGTACAAAGGTCAGTTGACATCATCCCATTTTGTTCATTTCAACCTCTCTTTTCTTTGTTTTTCTGCACTTCTTAGCTCGCTCGTTTTCCTTCCCCTCTTTTTCATTATCACTCTTTTCTTTCTCTCATATCTCACATCCCACAATTTCACCTCTTTTTTTTCCTTCTTTTTTTCCCCCTTGTTTTTCTCTTTATCTTGTAATAATAAACAAATGATTCGATCGAACCCTATGTAGGTTGCCTACGTATCATGACCCCGCATGAATCAGATCTTTGCGTAGTTCTGGAAGATCATGAATAAAGGAAACAAACTGACGTTCTCTGTTTCTTTTGTTTAATGTTCTATAACCTATTTTAAACTCAAGCTTAACAGATTTTTCTTTCTTTTCTTTGAAACAAATACTCTATTAAGGAAAAACTCTAGAAGAGAAAAAAAATATTTTTTGATTTTTTTTCTTTTTTAAGAAGGAAATCTAAAGGCTAGACCAAAGAAAAATATTTTGAATTTTCACTTGATATTCTGAAGAAAAGACTTCGAAACAAGAAATGAAAAAGATAAATAAAAAAAACTGCTTTTGGATTTGAATTTTTGATTACCTAAGGAAGAAACTCTGAAAATAAACCAAAGAAAAAGTATTGTTGTATTCTTTTTTTTATATGTAGAATGTCCTAAAGTTCTAATTTAAATTAAAAGATTTCTTTTCAAGTCGTTTTTCATCAATTTCCCAAAGAAAAACCTCAACAGAAAATCTTTTTGGATTTTTGGATTTATTATCTTAAAAGAAAACTTTTAAAGAGGTACTAAAGAAAATTCTCTTTTTTTTTAATTTTTGGTCTTAATATACTAAAGGAAATATAAAAGTTATTTTGATATTAATTGCCTAAAGGTAAACAACCTCAAAGGAAATTTTTTCCATTTATAGAATTAGTATTCTAAAGAAAACTTATAACGAAAATATAAAAACGCAAAATTTCTTTTTTTTTTTGGACTTGTACCACATTTCCAAATACCAAATAAGGAATACAATAACAAAAGACTAGGCAAACTTAACTAGACTATTACAAACTCTAACATCACCTAAAAGACCGAATACTACTATACATGACTAGAAAGTAAAACATGAACAATTGACTCAAAAATATAAAATGACTCCTCGAGCAACTTCTGAATGCAGTGATCCTGGGGTATCTGTCATGCCCAAACTCCAGTAAGTTAATCCACACCTGTATAAGAAAACTTAAACCAACACTATGTGAGACAATAACATTCCCTACTAGACACTTGCAAGACATGGTTGCAGTTATTTTTGCAAAATGGCTTATTTGGCCAAAAGGTGGCTAGAAGTGCAAAATTTGGCTAAGACCCTGCAAAGCCAAGAACCTAACATTTACTAGGAAGACCGGACCCTATGTGGGTTGCCTACATATCATGCCCCGAAAGACGAGAATCAGGTAAGCGTAGTTCGGGCAATTTGGATATGGGCGAGAATCAAAACAAAAACAACTAATTTAGAGAAAATATAGTTTATTATTTTTTATCTTTTCCTTGAAAATGATGAAACATGCAACATTTTTTTTTCTTTTTGGATTTTCTTTTCCCTTTTTTTTTTATTTTGATTTTCGAAAACGATGAAAAAGTGCAAAATCTTTCTTTTGAATTTTCAAGTTCTTTTCCCTTAACAAAAAATGTGACAGAAAACATAATTGGGCCACACTCTATTCACACTTCACCCTCTCTTTTTTCTTTTCTTTTTTATTTTTTTTCATTTGCCCTCAACTATCATTAGTCCGCCAAATGACCCTTTTACCCTTGAAGAAATGCAACATGTAGCACATAGGATGCATCAAGATGGTCTGTTATTTTGGGTACACCTGTCCTAGACAGACCCAACCCCTCTGTTGAGTCTCCAAAGTCAAAATGCACATGATGCAAACAAACGTTCCTACTAGGGATCTGGCATGAGGTATTGTTATACTAGGTTTAAAAACCTGGGTTTATTTATTCTAGACCTGGCTTACCCGAGCGGACAACTCGAGCCGAGAGGGAGCTGCGTACCGGTAACCAAAAGATCATCCGGCTTTGCAACTTATCCGAACCTCGTTCTATTTGGGATTTGACACTAACAGAAAGAAGTCACGACCAGCGTGCACTCCTCAGGAGGGAGAAGAGAGGGGTTTCGTAACAGTTTATATATACAGTTCAAATAATATCAAAGCGGTAAAAAGCAACAATTAGCACATCAGGCCCAAACATGTAATAAAATCAGATAATAAATAAAGTCAAATAATAACAATTATTCTAAGCTCGAATTCTGAACCCTGAACCAGAGATTCTGGGTTCATCCCCAGCGGAGTCGCCAGAGCTGTCACACCTCCTTTTTCATTACACCCCCGTAAGGGTATAAGGGAGTTTTTCCAACTTAAAGTGACAATCGAAATGTGATTTATTTATTTAAAATCATTCAGAGTCGCCACTTGGGATGATTATGGTGTCCCAAGTCACCGGTTCAAATCCCGAGTCGAGGAAAAGGTTGACTCTATATTACAGTCTGTGAACCAGAAATCCGGGTAAGGAATTCTGTTAACTCAGGAGAAGGTGTTAGGCATTCCCGAGTTCCGTGGTTCTAGCACGGTCACTCGATTGTTATTATTGGCCTAATTATCCGATTTTAAACACGTTTTAGCCTATTGTATATTTTTATCTTTGTAACCGCTTTTAACCATTTTTTTTGAAAAATTGTAACGTTATTTAAAATATGTCATGAACCACGTCACATAAATGCACCCGTAGTCCGCAACACATTTTATATAACATTGTTGGGATTTAGATTTGGTCACATAAATGCGCACTCGAGTTTTAAAATTGTGTATCACAACTATGACACGGGAACCGTGCCCGTAGCTATGACACTTTATTACACGCATAGAGCAAGCTACGGATGTTTATGAATATTAACAGCCTAAATACGCTACTATTTATCCAAGCAAATAAAATAGAAATACATTCTTCTTTTTTTTTAATTTTTATTTTACTATAAAAATACCATAACATATTCAAAATATGGCAACCACACTTTAATTCGATTCTGTTGTGCAATTACTCCATAACATCACACAGATTAATAATAAACATTCATTCACGCGATTCACAAACTAGTCAAAGAGCATGAACTCGACATCAATCATTACTATAGAAAAGCATACAAACCAATTAAAAGATACCATATCTTCTATGAACCACATTTGTGAACGAGATTTAGTATTTTAAAGTTTTTTTTTTCTTACTAATCCGTATGATCTATGTATAGAAATTACTTCTTAGGTGCTTGGTCCATTTGGGTACTCAACGTCACTAAACACAACAAAATCATAAAATAAGTAAACAAATCAATTCACATGTAAAACAAAAGGGGAGGGGAATATTGGCGAATGGGTAATGAATCAGTCAAAAGTATTCATCAAACGAGCAAATTTATCAAAACAGAAGGAAATCTAAAATAAGAAACTGAACCTTTAAGAGAATCTTTAGCCGCAGTCCTTTCCAATACTTGATTTAATATAAAACCTCCAGAATGAATTGTGAAACAACAGAGAAAGGCTGGCGTTGATCCAACGATGAGAGATAAACAAATCCTCGATCCCGACCTCAACAAAATATATCCCAGACCGGCAACCACGGACAGAAACGGAGATGAACAACGACTAACGACGACCTCGATGCTCGCCGGAAAGCTCAGACTAAATCAGAAAACAGACCTAACTAACTCCATGATAGTAGCTCCTAATCTGGAGTTGTTTCTTGGCTGATGGAAGAGACGAGATCGGCTGTTGCTTCAGGCGTTCAAGAGTGAAGAAACATCAGTGACTTCAATGGTTTCCTAGGGTGTGGATGGTCGACCTTAGGTGGAGTTAAGGTTGGTTTATTGATGATGGCGAAGGGAAGTGAGATTGGGTCGAGTGTGTGTGTGTGTGTGGTTGTGTGCGTCGAGGGAGATGGATGCAAGTGGTGTACGCAAGTTTCCGGCGATGGGGTTGCTGGACATTTTCCGATGAGGGGTCACTGGTGGCGTCATGCGTCTGGTATTCGACGGAGCTGGAGCTGGTGGATGCTGGTTGCTACTGAAGAAGAAGAGGACGGGTGGGGGTCGACGACGAGATTTCTCCGGCGAGCTTGAAGTGGCCTACTACGATCGCCGGTCTCGAAGAAGAAGCAGATGAGCAGTGGCTCTCTTGGCTCTCATTCAAGAANTTATATTTTTATGATTTGATATACTACACAATGCCAAAGCCAATCCTACTTAATTAAACTAAACATGAAACTATTTTTTGTATTTTCGAAATTATATAAAGATAAAAATAAGGTACTATTTTTTTGTATTATATAATTTTTAAAATTTATGAAAAACACATAAACTAAAATATTTTTTGTAATTTTTATTTTTCTTATAATAAAATAAAGTAAAAGAGTCAAAATGAGTTGAAATAGCTATATTTGGCCTAAATTAAATATTTACATGCTAAAATATAAAAAATCTTGGGGAGGGTATAAAATCACATGTCTACAACATGTAGTTCATAATAACATCATCAAGCCTCTGAGGGCATCCCATCATATCATCTCGACCACTGTGGGCAAAATCATCAACGTATACCAGCTGATCAGGTGGTGGTGCCTATATAACGCCGTAACCTTTTCCCATATTCCATATACATATATTATACATATATATGCGTATATAACGCCATCTGGTCATGAGTCAATGTACATGAATGGAATGCCTGAGAAATACGTTAATAAAATTTCTTGAAGTGTCATAAGACCATTACGCCTTTGAATAATATTATGAAGTAAACATTTTCAACTTATGTATTTTTCTGAGACCCATGAACAGATGATAAAATAATATGACACATGGAGAATCAAGAACATAAGCATCTCTAGCATTTCTATGAGTAGAATCATTTATGGAAGTTGTGCATTTACATGTTTCGTTTGCATCGTATGGATCATGCCAAAATAAAGAAGGGATAGCCTTAACATACCTGGAGTAGGGAAAAATCCGTATGATATTCTTGAAAAAGGTTGCACTGTACTCCCTTAGAATCGCAGAATCTCATGTTGCTAGCGTGTTAAGAAATGTCGTTGGATTTTGGTTGGAGAAATCACGTTATAATGATTTTGAGGGAATTTGTAGAAATTTGCTAAGGAATCACGTTGCTAAAGTGATAGCTCTTACATTTGATTGTAGTATTTTTTTGGTATTTGAAAATATTAAGGTTTGAGAATGAAATATGCCTTGTATCTAAAATCCTAGAATGGGGTGCCTTGTGTAAAATTGTCACGTATTAAAAATGACTCTTAGTCATGAATTATAACTAAGAGTCATACGGTAGGTGTGTTAATCTGCTGCCACGTGGGCTTTTGATCCTATCCATCAATCAATTAATTTAATTAGGTAATATCGCGTTACCCGGTAATTAACTTAATTGAATATTGTCTCAAATTATTTGGAATACTACTCACTTTTAACATACCTTATACACTTTACTATCATGGCCATGTGGTATCTTGTATGGTACTAGTCCATAAATATCGGGTATTATTGCTCGGCCTGTATTTTATCCCAACATGCAAAACTTGGACGAAAATTCACTTTCCTTGACTTGCTTCCCCTCTCACCTTCACGAATTTACTCATTTTCTTTAATTCGTGTACCCTTTATTCTCCATGTCACTTACTTATTGCTTGTTATAAATAGCATAACTACGTTAACCTCAAGATAATTTCATCCTCGAGTCTACGTTGTTTAACTGAAAACGAAACTTTTAACGTACAAAAACGCGAGATGTAACACGTAACATCTCATTTCCGATCTTATATCAATTCACTTGTGGCGTACTTCCACGTACGAAAATATGGGGTGTAACAAGATTGGAGGCCCGCGAACGCAAAGAAGGGTCACCTGGGTAGTGTATAAGTTTGCAAAAATGGGTTTGACTCATTTTATCTCATTTCCTCCATGTGAGATGACCTAGGAGAGATTTTGGAGCTCCATAATCATTATCTATGTCAAGGTAAGTGATTCCCACCTATTTCAAGTTAAATACTTGGATTATATATAGATTTTAACATGGAAGTTCATGGAAAATTAGTGAAAATTTGGGATTTTGGTAGAAAACTTTAAAAATTGGTATTTTTGGATTTTGACCACGAATTTGGGCATGGAATTGAAAATAAATTATATATTTGAGTTCGTGATGTTATGAGTAATATTTATCTTCAAAAATTTTCAGAATCCGGGCACGTGGGCCCGAGGGTTGATTCTATCGACTTTTCGAGCGGAATTGGAAATTATTCTAAATTGGATTATAATAAGTATTGGAGTATATATTTATAGATTTGCTTATTTATTGACTAGTTTTGGAGCGTTGGGTATCGGTTGAGTTGTTGGAATGGCTTGGGAGCCGGCTATGGAACTTCGGAGCGAGGTAAGTCTCTTTTCTAATCTTGTAAGAGGAAAATAACCCCATAGGTGAACTAACTTAATATGTGCCTCTATTTATGGGGGCTACGTACACACGAGGTGACGGGAGTCCGTGCATAGCTACTAGTTATGCCTATGTCTGAGTAGTTTTAGATTTACACCATGCCTTTTTGATATTGTTATTTGATTTATGTTTATTGTTTGCGTTGAGAAGAAGCGAGATTGAGTTTGCTTATTAAATGTCTTGAAAAGAGTTGAAATTGAGGAATTTGAGATTTTAAAAGTTTTCATTTGAACTTCGTATTTTTGAAGAGAATTGAAGAAATTATAATAACTTAAGAAATCTATGTGCAACCGCATCACAATTATATTCCGCGTGCGGGATAAATTTCCACTACTCTCATTGGAGCGGGCCGTTCACCTCGGTAGATTAAATAGATGCATCTATGGTTCGTGCCGTTTGACCCTCAGCGGTGCACAGTTTATATTTATATGTTAGATCGGTCCGTATGACCTCGACATGATTTGCGATTGATTGAATTAATTGCTTTGAAATTTATAATAATTAATATTGCCTTTTTGGCCTGAGATAAATTGTTAAATGATGAGAAATAAGTTTAGAGATTTCTTAATATTAAAAGAATTGCTTACTTACTTCATAATATTGAGCGTACAACCATTCTATACAACCCATGTTTAAATTATATCATTGACATTTTATTTATAGCCCATAATAAGTGTCGAAGTCGACTTCTCGTCACTACTTCTTCGAGGTTAGACTGGATACTTACTGGGTACACATTGTTTTTGTACTCAAACTACACTTGCTTTACATTTTGTTGTACATGCATATATGTTTAGAGGCCTTGTGGGCGCAGCGGCATGGTTAATGCGGGGACTTAGGTGGGCTGCATTTCATATTACGACTCGCAACCAGCAGAGTCTCCTTCAGAGTATTTATATTTTCTTTCCTGTCCAAATTTGTATTCCGGACAGATGTTGTATTTTATTTCATTTCTTAGTTGATGCTCATGCACTTGTGACACCGGGTTCTAGGGTGATTATAGGTTATTCACTATTGCGATTGTTAAAAATATTATTATTTATTTTGTAATTCCCATCTCCTACTATTTAATGAAGTAAAAATATGATTTTAAAAATATTAAAATGAGAACCAAATTAATAATTTATTATTGGCTTGCCTCACAATGTTGTCCGGCGCCATTATGACCTTTAATGGATTTTGGTTCATGACAACATGGTATTAAAGCAGTAAGTTCACTTAGGTCTCACGAGTCATGATCAAGTCTATTAGAGTCTTACGAATCAGTATGGAGACATCTGTACTTATTTTCGAGAGGATACAGGACTGTTAGGAGCACTTCCCTTCTTGATTCCTCATCGTGAGATTTGATTCATTTGAGGCTTATGCCTTTGTTTTTTCCTACTCGATCTTATGCGACATGAAGCGCTTGTTATAAATCGGGAATTGAGGAATTGTAATGGTACTACAGATGTGGTGCAGGATGTTTCTCCCTGCGTATTTGATTGGGCTATTGTCGTCGTTGTGTGGAAGGCGGTTCTGTTGTTTTAGTTCAATATCTGTACTACCTAAGGTTTTGAGATTTGACATTGATTGTTATGACATTTTGTGCGTTGCTATCGCACAGTATTGGTGTAATAGTAGGATGCTTGTCTATGCATTGAAGTAGTGAATGACTTGGAAGGAGGTTTACTCGGTGCATGATTTAGAGATTCAGTATTTTATTTCCGGAGGAGGAAAGGCAATCGGACTATGAATGTTCAGGTTTGGGTTGATGGAGTAACGAGACTTGGTATGTTCGAGAGTGGTGAAATTTTCATATATGATGTGGTGTCATCGTCCTTGTGGAACGCGTTAAGGTTCGCTGGTATTATGGTCTTCATCAATTTGCCTTCGGGGCAGATTAGTGCGAGATAGTGCCGGAGAAGCGGTTGTCGAAGATAGTGGAGTGTAGCAGTTTCAGAATTCAAATGGGTATTTCTAATATTGATGGCTCGAGGAAGATGATCTTTGGAGAGATTTAAAATTGGTAGCGATCTATTGGTTCAAGTGCTACAGAGATGGATTTTGACATAAGGCAACAACTGGGTAGCGAAGGATGAGGAGGACATGTGGGAGGTGTCTTACGGTGGATAAACTTCTAGAAGGCCAAGTGTGAGAAGCAAGAGTCGACTAGTTACTTAAAAGAGTGAGTTTGACCAAAGTGGGAGAGTGGCAGAGTAACATATGGGTTATGTGGTAGGATGACTACACGCCTTGGGAAAAGTCCAGAGTGATTCAGGATAGTGACTAGGTCTACAGAATTAATTTGGAATATTGGCTATTATACGGCAAGAGATGGGATGCGACAGAAATGAGTTTGTTACCGCGAAAATAGTAATAACAATTAAATTTGTTGATGGGACTCTAAAAACACGTGATCTGTTTTATGCTAGTTGTTAGAGCAGTTGATGCTAGATATGTGTAGCTTAACGACAAAATACGAACTAAAACAGGGTTATAATCAAACCAAGGAGCTAGTTGTCCGCGCTTCGGGCTAACCGATGAAGGGCCTCGAGGTCGATACCTGGGCTTGAGGTCGAGCTATCGGGGAAACCGGGAAGGGCCTAACAGTTAGGATATAATTAAAAGAAGGCTCTTAATGGCTGATATCAAGCAATGAATGAAGTACAAGTATGAAAGCAATAAATGAAAGAGGTAGCCTCGAGTGAGTA